GGGTCAAACTTCACACACCACCCAGACGCGGAGCGTCGAGTATCCAAACAACCTGCATAATGAGCATCCGCGTATGCCTCTAGAACCGGTGTACTGTGTACCACCAACAGAAAAAAAAAACAAGTCCACAGTCTGCGTACCATGGAGATAGCGCAGGATACGTGGAATAAGGAGCATATATATATTGACTGGCCACCTGAACTGCATAGGCAATATCAGGACGAGTGTGAGTGAAATATATCAAACTCCCCACGATACTACGATACATCTTATCGTCCGGAAGTAACTCCCCAGAAGAACGTGTCAACTTCAAATTGTGTTCCATAGGAGTGGCACAAGGAACGCAAGCATCCATTTGAGCTTCCTCCAAGAGATCGACGATATATTTATGTTGGTACACATGAATACCCGCAGCCGTGAGATCAAACTCCAAGCCCGAAAAAATAAGATAATTGGCCAAGCTCTTTAAGGTTGAACGCTTCGCGAGGAAGGTAGTGAGCGATTGAATGCCATCCTAATCTTTACCAATAATAATCATGTCGTCGACATAAAGAAGGAGAATAGTAATACCTCGGCCATTGCGACGCTAAAAAGGAGAAGGATCATTGGCACTCTACACAAACCCAGCTAAGAGAACAGTAGACTAAAACTTCTCGAACCATGCTCGTGGTGCCTGCTTCAGGCCATACAGAGACTGGCGGAGTGGACATACCATGGACTTATCCCCCTTAGTATAACCCAGAGGACACTCTATGTATATCGTTTCTATCAACTCACCATGTAGAAAAGCGTTCTTAACATCCAATTGCACCAACAACCAATCCTGCATAGCGGCCACAGGGATAAGACTCCGCACCATTTGCATTTTAGCAACTGGAGCAAATGTTTCCTCGTAGTCGATCCCAAACTGTTGCTTAAAACTTGAGCAACGACCCGAGCCTTCTGACGCTCAATGGAACCATGTGGATGACATTTCAGGGCGTAAACCCATTTGCTGTCAATCACATTGTACTCAGGACGACGGGGAACAAGATCCCAGGTATGTTGAGCTTCTAAAGCCCGAGTTTCAGCATCCATGGCGGCGTCCCACTAAAGTCAGAGTGGCACGTAGGGGGCTGGCCTTTGGTAGCACGATTTGACCAATTGGGAAGAGAGACGACCTCAGCATCAAAAGGGGAGGATCCAGATGTGGAATCCGAAAAGAGGAGGAAGTCTGATTAGTGATGGCAATGTGAACCTGTTTCGCGGGTATTACCCGACCTGAGTCGCGATGGGGCGGGTATTTTCCAATCCGCCCTGCCCCGCTCTGCCCCATTCTTGGCCTATTCTACCTCAATTTCTTACAATATCTACACATGTTTCTCCTATTTTGACTTTTCTTCACCTAGTTAGAGTCCATCTTTCAACTGGTTAGACTCAATTACCTATTTTGTTATCACTATTTTTTATTCATAAAGTGTTTTCCCCTTCGTTTTATCGTAAAAAATAAAATTTGCGTGTATTTTTTTTCAAATAATTTGTAAGAGTGAGTCGACCCGCCCCGTACCCGCGTGGATTTTACCCGCCTGACCTGTATTAGCGTGGGGCGGGGCATGAGTATTGAGGTACCCGTCCCACCCCATTGCCATCACTAACTCCGGTTGGTGATTAATGAAAGATATGATGCTCTTTACATTGGTTTAAAAAAAAACAATATACATAACTTGGAATTTAGGGTCAGCAACCATGCAAAAATGTTCAGTCATACTTTGAGTTCGATCCTTGTGGTCATCTATAAAATGAAGGTCGGTCCATCAAGCTTAGTAGGCTTGTAAGATCCATAAAATTCTATACGCCAATTGATACTTTACAGAATTTCAGAGGAAAATGAGCACTGAAAAAGAGATGAGACATAGTCTCTAGCTTGAGCAGAATTACATACATCATTAGGAATTTTCCTTCATTGCTTGAGTTTGTCCTTAGTAACAATGATGTTCCTCATCACCAACCAGTTTCGATAGCTATTTCTTGGAATTGAATGGTGCCCCATGCCAGTGAATACCACTGGTCTAGATTCATGCAGATCCTGCCACGCTGTATTCACTGAGTTCATTCAATAATCAATAAGCAACAGTAGCAATTGGATAAGGAGGAAGATTCTGAAAACCAGAAAATGAAGTAGACATGTTCATTCATTGTTGGAGGCATCAAGTATTCTGGAATAACAAACAAATGGGAAGAAAGCAACGTAACTACGCAGCCACTCAAGTTGGTCGATGTTGGTTTGAAATTGGGACGACGGCTCAATTTGCATGGGTCGCTTTATTTGCAGGAGAAGGAGATGGTGACCCTGACGGAAAACTATGTTAGGTTAGATTGTTATGAAGTTTTGGGCACCTAGCTAGGCTAGTGACTTTTAGTGTGAAGAGAATAAAGAAGTCGATGAAATTGAAACCCTCCACTCCATCGTCCTTGTTTCTTGTTGATGGTGAAATGTAATAACAAACTAATAAAAAGCAGTTGCAGAGGTTACCTAATGAAATAAAAGAGATTATCTCCACATTATGATTATGGTTAAGAACTAGGGGACTCATTATGGCCACGAACATGGGTTTTTTTCCCACTTGCCAAGCCAAGAAGATAAAGTATGGTGGGTCAGATTTTTGTTTTGTGTATTACTATTATGAATCATCATATATCCATTTGTAGATGACAGGTTAGCGAACTAGTTGGTATCATAAGTCGAATTGTTGAGAAATGTTCGATTTTGGATTATATATTGTTTACTAACACACCACCTCAAACGAAAGCCACCATATACGGGCTTCAAGTTTGCACAGGTCTAGACACCATGTGCTTAACAGAAATATTTGAGGGTTATCGGAAATTCGAAAAGAAGACATCTTGGTCACAGAAGACTCTAATATCATGTTAAGAACCAGTTGGTCCTAATAAGTAATAACTTGAGTTGTTGGATGAGGTTTAATCGTAGATCATATACCGTTAACTAACATGACTAACCTCTTATCACGGTTGTTCAAAGAATGGGTTATATTCTCGTGTCGTGGTCAAGAATCCAACTCCTAACATGATGGTGGGTTGATAAAATGTGATTATCAAAACGGGTAAAAATATTGGCAATACAAGAAAGTAAAAAATACATAGATTTACATGATTCACTAACACGATATATGTTAACAAATCCACAAAGAATGAGATTCCCGTAATTTTCAGTTGACGATGGATGGGCCGAGTAGAGTGGATAGGCCTAACCATATAACCATCCACAAACCGCCCCTAACTAGTCCTTTTCTTTTAGTTGTAAGAGTAAAGTTCTCTTTTATTGGTGATTGGTGAGCTTCCTTGACTTTTAGATTGGTGTGGAAAGCGGAGGAAAGGGACCCGACCAACGCCCCAGAAGGAAAAACGATACTTAAACCAGGCAGTCTGAAATCAGGTTCAACATGGTTATTATTAAAATATTTATCAGCATCAACATGTTACAACTTACAGATTCTTTTGTGTTCATTATTCATATACTCACTTCGATCGTGTAATAAAAAAAGAAACCATTAATATTTTATACCATAGGTGGAAGAATATTTATGTTAAATAAGACAGTTTATATTAAGTATTAAGTCATTCATTTTCCATTTCACATGGACACCATCAATTCATTCTTATGCTTGCTACTGTGACAATTGTATTAAAAAAAAAATCTGTAATTTACCTAAAAGTACCACCAAGTTTGATTGGTTAATTCACAGGAAATGCAAAGGTAAAACTATAATTTCAGTGGGTAGGTTAATGCTCTGATAAGATGTATAAAAATACAATATATGATATCATCCAAAATATTATCATCATGGTTAGTTAAAAATGATATCATCAAAAATATTATCATATATAAGTATTAGTAAAAAAAAATGCGAAAATTGAACCTTTTAACTTTATAATTCTGATTTTTCTTTTCTTTCATATGTCGAGTAGCTTGACCTATCATAAGGCTCCTACGCAATGCTGATTAGAACAAACAAAATTTCACTATGATTTTTTATGTCAAATACTATTATTCATTGGTTTGCATTTCCATTTTGATTTAACAAATTCTCGTATTATCGTATGTCATTTCTAAAATAAAAGTAAAAGAATAGTATGAGTAGGGAATTTTTATTTACCCTTTAAGCCAATCGGAAAGATGTACGGAACTCTGAGTCCTCAACTTCCCAACAAGCCCCTTACTTAGGGATGGCAAAAATATCCGTAACCGTGGATATCCGCCCGACTCCGACCTTGTCGGGTAGGGTAAAACCCGAACCCGAAGGACTTTTAGCGGGTACGGGTAAAACCCGAACCCGAATATTGCGGGTAATGGGTGGGCATGGTTTTCTCACTATCCAACCCGAACCCGCCCGATATACACATGCATATATATTTTTTCTAGAAATAATCATTATTTTTCTCTAATATATTTTATATTTAGCATATAAATATAATCTTTTTCATGAAATTGTGTTGTTTTAATGAATTTTCTTCATTCTAGTGAATTATTGTCATACTTTTTGTCTTAGGTAATGTGAGAATACATGTGATTAATAACAATATTGGTTGAAGTTATAAAGAGAAACTATTACCCATGGATAATCGTGGATACCCGAAATCCGAACGGGTATGAACATGATTTTGATTTTCTACCCATTTCTTATGTGGGTATGGGTAAAACCCAACTACTTTAGGTAGGGTAACGAATATGCACTATCCGTCCCCGACCCGACCTATTGCCATCCCTACCCTTACTGAGCGCATTCCTAAATCATCTAGTATAGTAGCAAATCACTACTTGTTTATTTAATTATTATATATGTGGGGCTTAATTAATTATTATTAAAAGAAAACTGATTGTAATTAATTATTTAAATCCGGAACTCTCATCACCGTTTCTAAATAAAACCAGCAGCTTCACTCGCAGCAGAAAAGAAGACCACAGCCATCCCCACCCATCTCCGCCGGTGCCGGGAAAAATGGATCCGGCAATCTGGAGCCGGCTCCCGGAGGAGATTCTCGACCACATACTCTCCTTACTACCGCTCAAAACCTTCATGAACCTCCGATCCACTTGCAAGCGCTTCGATTCCCTCATCTTCTCCCCTTCCTTCATTTCCAAACACTCCTCCGCCGCCGGCGCCGCCGCTTCTCCGCCTTCCCTCCTCTTACTCTCCCACCCTCACTTCCCTTCCAGAGTCGGCGTTTACGACGCCGCCACCGCCTCCTGGCGCTCCATCCACCTCTCCCTCTCCTCCGCCTCCACCTCCCCACGCGCGGCCGCCACGCTCCTCTCCTCCTCCAACGGCCTGTTCTGCCTCCGCAACTCCTCCTCCCTCCTAATCTCCAATTTCCTCACCAAATCCTCCCGCCCAATCCATTTCCCTACCTTCCCCTTCGATTTCGACTCCCTAACCCTAATTTCCACCGAATCGGGATACAGCATCTTCGCCCACTGCTCCAGGTCCTCCTTCGTCTACTCCTCCGCCGCCCAATCCTGGTCCCAATTCGACGGATTCTCCCCGGCGCTGTCCGAGAGCTGCCGCCAGGAAGGGGTTTTCTTCCGCGGCTCCCTCTACTTCACCACGCAGGAGCCGATTCAGATCGTTCGATTCGATGTCCGTACAGGGGAATGGGGATCCATGGAGACCGAGCTTCCGGCAGGGATCAGCTTCGCGAGGCTGGTGAGCGACGGGGAGAGGAAGCTGTACTTGGTGGGCGGAGTCGGGAACAACGGGATCTCGAAGACGGTGAAGCTGTGGGAATTGGACGGCGGCGGGGATTGGGTCGAGATTGAGAGGCTGCCGGAGATGATGTGCCGGAAGTTTGTGTCGGTTTGCTACCACAATTACGAGCATGTGTACTGTTTCTGGCACCAAGGGATGATCTGTATCTGCTGCTATACTTGGCCGGAGATACTGTATTACAAGGTGGGGAGGAGGACGTGGCATTGGCTGCCAAAGTGCCCGTCGCTGCCGGAGAAATGGAGCTGTGGGTTCAAGTGGTTCTCCTTTGTTCCTCAGCTCTACGCCTTGGTTTAGTATTCCGTTTTTCATTTTTTTTTTTTTTTTTTTGTATACATGTCTATAGTTGTATCGAGCTTGATCGGGAAGGCGTAAGTACTGTGTTTATGTTTTCTTGGATCGTCAATATATGAGCGAACGATTGTAGTGGTGCACATAAAACACGAAATAATTGAGATGATCGTAATTCGTAATACATTCGCTTGCGTTTTTTGAACATTACTACAGTTGTGTAGTCACAAATTTGAAGAATGAGAAGGAATGAACATGTGCTTTTTAGCCAAACTGGAAGTGGGAGAGTTTGATGTGTTGGGATGATTTTGGCCTTTTTGGCTTGGTGGTTAGTTGGAGTAAAATCCAGTGGCTAGCTGCTAAGGATGAAAATTCCAGGGTGTTTGTTTGAGGTTCTTCTTGTCTGCGTCCTATGGGTCTTTTTCTATTTTGTCTTTTTTTCCCCCTGTAATCATCATCCTTTTGTTTACTTTTAACTTCTTGTTGAATGTATAAAAGGGTTGACCAGTTTACTTCAGTAAATAACTTATAGATGTGAATTAGGGTACGGATTGGTGTAACAAGCATTTCAGGTTTTACTGGTGCAAATTGATAATAAACAAATAAAAAAAATTGATCGGTTAGTTCAAACATGATAGTCGAATGAATCAACTGAACTGAGATTGGTGGTTATTCGTTTGTTTACTGGTCACCGACTCAATTTGATCTTCATAACTCTTACTTTATATAGTTTTAATGTTACGAGGAAGTCACTCGACGAGGTAAAGAGTACATAAACTGTACACAAATATATTATGTTACTAGTAACTATTAGTTACGTTTAGGCAAAATGGAACCTACCATAGTGATAACTGAATACTTACCATAGTAGTTGATTTACATCTAAGTGAGTTCTTTCTTTTGTTTTGTTTTTTGTTGCTATGGCAAACCTTAGATACAAGTTAGCTGTTGAAGAGTTGTTAACTTAATTCAAATGGGATCTAAAATACAGGTTTAGTCTCGTTCAATTTTCGGGTGCGGGCACATATGAAACCATCGAATGTAAGGCTGCTAGTCAAGATCAAGTTGGTGGACTGGGCTGGTTGTTATTATATAAAGAAAAGTTGGGGATCGCGATACCCCATTTGCCGTCCCCGATGCCGTCGTGGACGATTTAAGTAATGTTCATGAAACGAAAGGAGGTAAGAAGAAAGAAAGGGAGCCATTTTGTTGGACCCAATTCGTTTGTGGCGGATCTGATCTGGTCGTAATCTAATCATTCAAACCTTTACGTTTCACTCCAAATGTCCAGTTTGTTTCGAGAAGGAAAAGACGGTAATGCTGTAGCAGTAAAACTACGAATCTCTCTTTTTTCCAAAATAGCTGCCGCCAAAACGCTGTTCCAAAGTGAAGAAAACAGACGAACCTGCTGTTGACTTTGTTTCTAGAAATCGCGAAAGGAACATGGAGAACAAACAAGGGTGGACAAGGAAAGGATGGAAGAACTGATGAATATTCATCTACCAGTCCTCCCTTGCTTGCATTGCAAATTGAAAGGAGAGACAGAAATCGGACGTTCGTGACTTGTAATGCCATATTCCTGTATATGAAACCTGTAAGCCTCTTAAACTCCAGACTAGAAAACTGTACGGAAAGAAAAACCAACATTCAACGCTAGATCTGATAAAAGATGGGAGAAAGAAGACATGAAAACCCACAAGCTTTCAATCGATTATCACACTCAAAGCTGCAGGAAGAATTCGCGACAAAGTCAGCAGTTTGCATTTTCCCACTATTTAGACCCAACAAAAACTAACAAATGTACCCAAACTGTCTTTCACTGGAAAAATGCCATGTATCAGAAATTTCAGACTGCCTCGCTTTGATCGTAAGAATATATATGGAGTTTCAAACAACGAACCCATTTCGCGTTGTCGTCGTTGAATAAAAATCTTGAATAGATAGAGGGCTGCTGAACAATCAAGGCTTCAGGGACAGACCCACGCCAAACTTGGGAGTCTTCTGGAATGCTTTTGTGTCGAATGACCCAGACACTGTCAAAAACGACTTGGGCTTTATCTCGTGCTGGAGAAGAGCCCCAAGATCACCATGGTTGTTCAGCTTTGCTTTCAATAATGTAGTAGAGTCGACCACATACGAACATCCAACTGTTAAAGTGTTCTCGTTGGTGGAGAACCGCCTGCTGATCTCTGCCACAACTGCACCCCCATTCAGCTGCTCCAGATGATGCAGGTAGGAAACCCTTATAGAGTCTCCTTTGTCAGCCCTGCAGGAGGAAAATAATGAAATGACATTTTTTAATTGGGGACCAGTTGAAAAAGGTCTAAGATGAGACACTCAAAACCATTGTGGCATAGTGAAATTGTAGTTTTGACGCAAAATTTGCCTTGGTATGAGAAAGTTCAGGTACTCAAAATTAAGACACCATACATTGAGATACTAAATAGTAATTTTACGGAAACCCATCAGTCAACTTAATTATCCACCAGCACAATAAATTTGGAGCAAATAGGTTTCAGTTAGATGGATTTGAAGTGGGTTTGCAGTCGAAAGGGTGCTCCAAGTTCTAAATATGCATGTGTTCTGTGCTTAAGAAAACGGCTAGAAAATTCAGCACATAGAACTTACAAGATGGCCGAAGCATTTGAATCTGGCCTAGTGAGGCTGACACCAGCATTATACTTGCTAAAGTCGCCTGTAGATGTCAAGTAGCTAGCCTCTGCACCGAATGCAATGGTGGGAGTACCAACAGTTGCAGAGAAATCAATAGATGGAGACTTATTCAGGCCGAGAGCAGCAGTGACACCAGCATGATGATGGAAATGCTGGACTTCCAACTGTAGAGACAACAACAAGGAACAAATGCTGAATTAAAACCATACCAAACCCCATCAGATGAAAAGCTACCACATCCTTGCATATCATATACTGAATACCTTTCCAGAGTTGAAATCAGGCAATTTTACTGAAGCAATGGATTTGGTCGATGATGGATAGTCTGTAACACTAACAGTTGTTATCACCTGTACAAAGAAACAACATTAGATATACCAGAGCTGTGAATTAAGGGAATAACAATGAAAACAGGGCAGAGCACCTACATTAGACTCAGTATCGACTTTGAATCCAACAGTAGCATTCTTATGCTTGTATTCAGCTGCCACATCCCCAGACGAAAGGCCTCCTTTCTCAACAACATTCGAGGTAAGAGCCTGAAATGGACAAGAAAAACTGTTAACCCCAAAATGCAAACTGCTAACCAAGTAAGGCTTTGAAAAAATGAATCAAACTACACACAGTGGACCTCCTAGAACAATAAAATCCTAGGGTATGCTCTACACAAACCAATTGCTGGAGATAATAGAAAGCAGATTGTATATTACATCAAACCAAAAGTTACAGGATCACATTCTGGGTGGACCAGCTATTGCCAAAATAAGATAGAAAATCTACAGCGCTAACTAGCAAAAGACTTGCACATAACAAAATTAGCCCGTCTGCTATGCAAAGTGCAACTAGCTAATTGAAAGCAAATACACACAGAACCACTATGACATTGCCCCCATGAGGTCACGAGCAGCAACAAATTGGATTACAATACAAAATGGGATTTATTACGGACAAAAAAGAAACAGCCTCGCCTTACGAATTACAACCCTAGCGGTACCAAAAACAGTACAGGCTACAGCTTATACCAGCTTCAGCTCTCATGGCTAGCCACAGTTAAGGATTCAGAAAATTGAGCAGCCTCATTACCTAAACATAATCAACAGACTACCAGCGTACCAGCGTGGCTCAGAGCATTCAAACCGAATGAAATGCGAAAAATCTCAGATCCAATCGCAGGGCTTAAGCAAATCATAAAGAGTTGAAAAGAGCAGAATGAGTGGGGAAGGGATGATAAGGAACTGACCACTCCAGAATCGGTGAAACTAGAGATGGAAATCTTCTGGTCGGATAGGTAATCCCTGGTGAGCAAATCTGGAACCAAAGAGGGAATCAAACGAAACATCGGCGCCGCAGCAAACAGCGAGAGGAAGAGAGAGAGAGGAAGGTGGGAAGGGGAGATCTATGTTCGTTTACCTTTGGCCTTCTTGCCGAAGTCGGAGAAGAGACCTGGTCCCTTGCTCATGGCGGCCGGCGAAACGGAGTCGGAGCGGGGAGGATTTGGGGGGAAGGGTTTATGAAAAACCCTATAATGCGAGAACTGGGAGAGAGCTGTGGTGGTGGGAGCTTGTTCGTCTTGGTAAAAGTGCGCACCAGTCAACGATCAATAAATATGGGGCGGGGGGAAGGGGAGAAAGCAGGCGGGCCGCGCGGGTCCAAAATTATCGCGCACACCCGACCCGATGTTTTTGGGGTTTCTTTTCCCTTTGGCGTTGGCTTCAAGCACAAGCCAGAACCTGGCTTCACGCCCAAAATTGAAAATGTGAAATTGGTTGTTTAACGAGGTGCTATTTTTTTTTTTTAATTCCTCGCATCTTAGCTTAGCTTTCATTCAAGACAATATGGGGTTCAAAGAGCCCCTCACAGTCATACAAAATGAGCTGATACAAAAAGGGATCAGAAATGGAAAATACTATGCACCCCCACATACTGGGTGTGACCGCAATGAGCAAGATAATCAGCACACTTATTGGCCTCACGATAAATATGGGAGATCCTCACTTCTCCTTCTCGAGCTGCAAGAGCCTGAAACCGGGCCACAATGGCCGAGTGGAGATGCGTGGCACTGTCCTTGCTCGTAAGCATCTGCACTGCACGCATAATTAGTAAAACACGGTACGCCAAAGTTACGTATAAAATACGTACGCGTATTTTACTTCGTCTCTAACCGAATGTTACGTTTAATAGTACGTTAATAGTCATAAGTATATAAAAAATAATTATTGTAAAAATAAATAAATATATAAAAAATTTAAATTTTAACAATTTAATTCATTTAATACGGATATTAAACGTGTTATACGGGTTTTATACGCGTTTAGTACGGAAGCCATCAAATG